TTAATTAAAACAAATATAAAAATATTTTATTTTTAATTTTTTAATATAAACAAATATATTACTGTCTTATAATTATCATTTAACTTTCAATGTTATACATTAACTAATACACCCAGATTTTAATAATTAAAATTAAAATATTGTTTATCATTTTGTGCTTTAATTTGAACCAAACTAAAATAATAAACTTATTACCAACTTGTATTGTATTCGTTGCAATGAAAAATTGCTTTATACTTTCACCATAAACGATAATGTTGTTGTGAATTTCGAATGTTTCGATTGTGGCAAGTCTTGTTATATCCAGTTCACTGTTTTTCAAATGACAAATTAACACAAATTCAAAGGGTTAATTTTATCTAAGTGGTTCGTTGTGTGTCGATTAATTATGGTAATGTTAGCATAATTCACATAAATCGCTGATGGGCACCACGTAAGTTTTTCATGTTCCATTAATTATAAAAACGATCAATTAGAGTAAAATAATTAAATTTGTTGAATTACATGATAATTCAATTAAACAATTAAAATGATAATAAAGTCGAAGTAAATTCTAATTAATATATTTTTTTGTGTTGGTGAAATAATGAAAAATGTGTCATTTATAATATTTTTATATTTTTAAAAAACCACAAAGTATAAAATATAACAAATTTTATTTTTATTTTTGTTTTTTTTAATATTTTTGTTTATAATGACAGTAACGACTATATGGTAAATATTCAAACACATAAACAAAATAAGATCACAACACTCAATTATAAACACAAATGCTTTATTATGTTTCATTTAAATTATTTTAATTATTTTTGTCCAAAAAAAGAATTAAATTTGTTTAACTGGCTGTTTTTTTCTTTTTGTAGAAAAATAATTAGATTCGGACCTAACCCCGGGTAAATTGAGACGTATGCCTTTAATTTTTTAATTAAACTAAAATTTGCCTTTTATTACTTCTCCCTTTAAAAAAAATTACAAGGAAAAAATCTAACCTGTTAATGTATAACATCTCACTACATTATTTTAATTGTTAACAAACAACAATTATTATCATTTAAATAGCAACAGACATTTTTCAGGTTAATTATTGAATTACAATTTTCAAGATGTTTTGAATATCTGACTCTTTGTCTCATTATCGGGTATTTTTGTTTTATACATGTTTAAATAATTACACTTTAAATGTTTTTCTTGAAGTTTACTTAATATTAAAGTGATTTTGGCATCCTTTAAAAATGACCACTTAATTGATAACCAACTACATGAAACATAAAAAAAAGATTAAGATGGGATGTTTCAAAAAGAGGACTGCTCGGAATCATATGAGCCTGACTAATATGTTGGAAGAATTCAAAAAGTGATATTATAGTTATTATGCAATTAAATTAGTGCTTACTAGTATTTTTTAAAGATATTGACCGTTAATTAAAACAGTCATTATCTTTGTTTTACAGCTATTCATGTTCTGAAATAAACGGAAAATAATAATAAACAAAGAAAAATTGTTAAAACAATAAATATTGAATCGAAGGCAAAATCAACTTTTATCAATACGCAATTATACAACGTTTGTGACGTTTTTGTTTTTTTATTGAAACTCCAACCTTTACCAAATAATGCTAGTTCTTAGATCCCAGTGGTTTTTCACACCAGCGGTTTTTTTCGCCCTCTATAATGCTTTTTTATACAATCAGTATTTTCATTTCATATTTTGTGTTTGGTACATCCTCCTTTTCGAATTCTTGAATCAACTTCTGTGAGTTCACCAAAGGCAAAAGTACTTTTGAGCAAAGCAAAAACACACTTTTCCCATCAATTATCAAAAATAATTTTTAATTGGTAACTTTTTTATTGGTTAGATTTTTAGTTTAAAAACTAATAGGTACTAAACTAATAATGTGACAAATAAAAAAGTGTCACACAGTTGGGTTATAATAAGGTTATAATAACATTTTAATAACATTTATCAAAAAATTGAATATGAATGAAACAGTCAATTTAACATACAAACATTACGTGCTTGAGTCTTCATTTTTATAACATTTTCTTTGTTCTTTGCAATTGTTGATGAGTCGAATTTGTCGACAACATCTTCACGTGCGCGATGAAACAAAGTCACTATATCACTTATCCCTTCGCGTGTTTTTGCACTTGTCAAATGGAATGCAATATTGAGCTCAGCTGCTTTTTGAGCACCTATTAATGGTGAGATGTGTATGTCTCCTTCAATTGTGTCATAACGAAGACCCACCAAATGAATTTGGTTCAACGTGAAGTGTTTATTGACCAAAGAAAAACAGTTGCCAACGTTATCAAAATGTTTCATCGTCTTACAATCGTAACATATAAAACACAGAGGTGGGTGACGGGTTTTACAAAATGCTTTTTGTAATTTATTATATTAATATCAAATTATAATTTTACTATTCCAAAAATTCAAACTGTCGATAGTTTTATTTGAGTATCCATTGTTCCACACTTCAAAAGTCGTCAAATTCACAATTCTTCGGTCCCACAAAAATCGTTTGATATCAAAATCAACTCCATTGACTAGCGTTGAGTGTACAGACTCTTTATATCCCCCCTCTAATACTTGTGATATCAAACAAGACTTTCCTATATGGTGTTCCCCTATAACCATCAAACTCATTGGTACTACTTTAAGTTCCTCTTCCATTTTGATTCTTCTTTAATTTAATAGAATTTAATAATTTCAGTTCTTTATTTCGTTTAGAAATGAGTAGAAATAGACTTGTTAGTGATTAAAAAATGCACACAAAACATTAATTAGTCGTATTGTATTAATGGGCCACCGAGTGATGACAACTCAAACTCAGAATATTCTTTCAGCATTTCTCTTCCCTTCATTTTTCTATATCTCACAATGAATACAATCGTTCCTATAAATAGTACACAAATGACTATTAACCCCACAACAGAAGGAACAACAATTGTAACAATTTTCGACGCCTTTCCTTCCTCGGGATAGTTCTTTACAATTTGGTTCTTTGGGAGTCTGTATATAGGGAAGAGGGTGTCCGTCGGTGTAATAGTTTTTAAGACTTCTGGTGGTATTTTACACAAAGAGTATGTGTTTTTGAAGTCAAACACCAATTTATTCTCGTCAGTGGACGTCAGCACACACGTCAAATAGAGTGGCTCCGCCCAGTAACTAAGCTTTCCATTGACTGTTGTGTTCCTAATGATCAGTAAGTCATTCATACTGAATTTGTCCGTCTGAGTAAAATCGACTGTTGAAAACTCGCTGATTCCAATATACACATCGACGTTGTCGGGATTCTCCAACGACAATATCTCTAAGCCGTCACCTACCATATACCCAATAACAAAATTCTCATCAAGGCCTCCAATAGAGTCATTGAAAAAGACGGGAATCTCAAACCCTAAATTGTCCTTTACAACATTGGTCTTGTCATCCCACCAATTCCCTAAAGGTGACTGTGCTCCATTCAGTTTGATCGCCTTTTCTGTGATCCCAACTACGACAGAGGATCCACACGCATAACACCGATCAAACTCAAAAACAACCAAATCGTCAGCAACATGTGTGTTTTGTGCAAGAGTAATAAACTCATAATCAATACTTTTGTCTCTACTCAATGTTTTAATAGTCAATGGGAATGTCCCTGATATCAATGAAGTGTGGTCTGCCGCTCCCTCCATAATACAGTCAGACACAAACGCAGAAATTTCTCGATTAAAGTACTTAAAAAAGACGGAGACTTTGTCTTTAAAACTATCCAACACAATTCGCGTGGCATATGAATCAGTGTATTGTTTATACCCCGGTTTCAATGTGTATTCGTTGAAAATAGCATTGGTCGATGCAGTCGCGCGCTTTAAACGATAAACTTGACTTGTTGGCAACACTCTCTCGTTAAACATGAAAACGTTTGAGAGTAAAGATGCCTCATCACAATCGCCAAATTCGGGAGATAAGTAGTCTGCACATCCAACTACTTGACTCAGACACTCATATTCATCGTCTTTAAAGACATTAATAGTATTCAAATTGATACCCTTCTTAAGAGCACACCAACTCGCATTTTTGTCATACACTTCTACATGTCTTCTATACGAATCTCCAACACTTTTTAACCCATTTTCACTTGACAAATCAACATTGTCACCAAGTCCACACCCTTGTTGTTGTATCGCACACTTTGATACTAATTGCGGACATGCCGCCTTTGCTTCGGCTTCTGTTTTATACACCTTTCGTTGGCCAATAACGTTACACACAAATCGTTCGCAATTCA